GGTGCTCCCACTCCAGGAAGGGGAGGGGGAGGGGGAGGAAGAGGAAGTACCCCCTCACCAGGCAAAGGGGGAGGAGGAGGTGGCAGCATTTCAGAACCTGGCAGAGGAGGAGGTGGGGGGACTGTTGTACTGGGCAGAGCAGGCACTGTCACATCAAGGGAAGGTGGGAGAGTCTCCAGGCCCACGCCAGGCATGGAGCTAGAGGACTTTGCGCAAGGCAGAGGCGGCGGGTGTGGGATGCTGCAGCTGTTTCCAGAGTAGGAGAGAATAGAGTGTTCATGGCTGGTTTCAGAGTCAGTGGGGAGAGGAGGGAGGGAGGGCTGTGACCCAGGCAGTCCTTGACCGTCAGGCAACTGAAGGGACAGAGGAGATGGAGGCTGTGATATACCCTGTGTGGGTTGATAGGCATCGAGCTGTACCGATATTCTCCTTGAAGACACAATCAAAGAAATCTCAGAACAGAATTTTGTCTGAGGTCCAGAAGCTGAGGCCGGAGCAGGTGACTTCCCATTCTCGGCCCCAGGTGGGCACGGAGGACCCACAGATGGAAACGCCAGAATCCTGCCCTCCTCTGTTGGGGAAGTCTGTATTGATTTTGCCTCTACAATCCTTTGATGTTGTCCATCCCTTCGTCCTAATCTGAGAACTTCCAGACAGACGTCCTCTGAGGCTGTCACTCCATCCTCAACCCCTGGATGGCTGCCGGCCACCTCCGTGTCCAGGACAGGATACTGCTTCTCTAATTCAGCTATTTTGGTCCTCAGGTCCTCAATGGTCTGTTCCAGCTGCTGAATTACAGTCGCCTGTCCCTCAGACTGCATATCAAATGCTTCCTGAGGGGAAACAAGCACAGACACAGCTGAAAACGAAAGTAGGAAAACTCCAAATATCAGAAAGAGAATCATAAAATTAAACAAAACTGTATTGTCTTTCAGAGAGATCCTTCCACAGAAAGATACTATGAATATGTCTGTGATCCCTCTTTTCTGCCCTTGGATTTTAAAGTGGTTCACACACATTACACCGTAAGATCCTAAGTTCTTTTACGTCATCTTCAAATAGTATTGAGGATAAGCAGATGACAGAGAATTGGAAAGACTATTCTGAGGGACAGTTTATTACTAAGATAAACTTCTTTCATGTCTAGGAACATTTGCTATTAGGATATTCCTAAAATTATTTTCAAAATATTAAGTCCCTAATAAGTGAAATATTTTTAATATCTATAAGAGCATGGGCACTTACCTTCTGAGTATGTGCCATGGCACTTACATGATGTTTACTATAATTTTAGTATTTTACCCAAGATATTTCAGAAATCGATGGTTTTCCACGATTTATAAGGATGAACACTTTAAACAGGCACTATTTTAAGGTAAACTACATATTAAGTATATGATTAGTTAAAGGGGCCTTCCTAACCTCTACCCCTTTCTCCTTATATATAATGAAGTGGGAAGAAAAACTCTATTTACAGACTCTTCTATAGCCAGCCTGAACCAATTAGATGGGCCTAGGTCACACATAGGTTTACAAGTCAGAACCATGATCCTCTGTGTCTTAGTTGGTCTGCTGCCAAAGAAGATGTGAAAATTTGATTTTCCCTGGGACAACACTCCAACATCCACTTTGCAGTTTGCAATACTTATCTACAAGGTTTCAGCCTGCCTGGCAGACCATGAAAGTTTCAGTTTAAAAACAGATCCTTTAAGCTTTCCAACTTTGTATCAGAACACTTTATGTAGTAAACCCTTCTGTTTGGTAGACCTGTCATATTTTCTAGTTCCTACAAGGCTTTACTGATATAAGCAGGTACCAATATTTCAGAATAAATTGTGAAAAAAAATCTAGTTTTTTCCCCAATTAGAGAAATTTAAAACTAAGCAACTGTATCATCTTATTTTTAAAAGTTACTTTATCATATAGTGATATTTTACAAACTTAATTTGTTCTGAGATTTTAGAAAAGTTGGCCACCAACTTTGTGTTTGTGTGTAAAACATTCCCATGGTCGTGTTTGTCACCCGATGTACAGTTTGCAAACAAAAAAAATTTTTTGCCAAACACTTCTGTTTGCAAACCAAACTGTTTACAAACACAAGCATTCATGAACTGGGGTGCCACTGGAGAAGCACATACAAGTTATTAGATTTAAAATTATTTTCAGTGCAATATTTGGGGGAAAAATACTATACTATGATACATCATATATGAAAAGTTTATGAAAAGATGGTCATCTTTTGGTAATATTTGAGAATCTCATTAATTTTCCAATGGCCTTTGATAATTATAGTATGCAAGTTCATGCTTTAAATATCTCTGTCACATAATCACCCTGCCATATTAACTCACTCTGACAGGCACTCATGAATCAGTTATATGCACGTGATTCAAGCGTTCTGCCCTCACCTTCCTGCCTTCAAGAAATCCAACACCTTCCGTAAGATTAGCAACTTTACCTTACATTATGTTTATATCGTATGGCCTAAAACACCCTAAAGTCATTGGTAAATTCACTCTGCCAAAAGTAAAGCAAATGAATAGTAACAGGTAGCCTGGGTCAAGGTGGAGGGGGCAGATTTAGGGTCTACTTGCTAATATGTATTTTTGTTTTGCATTTTACTTATCTTTAAGAAGAGACAATTAAGGGCACATAACAATAAAGTATTTAAAAATAAGGTACTCATAAACTTTATAACCTTTAAATGTTTCAAATGGAAAATACAACAAGAACTAGAACCAAGAAATGACAGAGCAAACCATGAGAGAATAAAATTCAAAAACCAAATCTGTAATAGAGCAGTGTTAGCCAGGTGGTGCCAGGAAGGTGGCAGAGTTAAAGTATCTTGAAGATAACAATAAACAAACCATAAAACAAAAGACTGAAATTTTTTATAGGGAAATTTTATATGGGTAAGTTTTGTAGACAGACATCACAAAAGAAAGCTGGGGGAAGAGACTATCTATTTGATTCTCACATTATTCACACTGTAGCAAGAACAAAAAATTCAATTTGCTAGAATCTTCATCCTCTTCGATGACCTATCTTCACCCATGGCATAAACCGCTGGCCCTGAATAAGTGTTACAATTCCTTTTCCGTTCCAGGAAACAACAATTAACTCATCTCAAACCTTAACAGAAGGGCCTGTAAAATAAGGCCTCCCATCCACTCTTAAGGGACCAAATGCATGAGGGATTTTGGGTTCTGAAGTTGGCTGAGAGTCATCAAAGAATCTTATCTGGCCTCCCTTATCTAGGCCATCAGCCAAGGCATGGTTGGCTCTGGAAGGACCAATTCACAGCGTCAGCAGAGACTTTTTCTCAAGTGCTCCCTGGAAAAGGCTGCCTTGCTTGTCAGCAGCTAAGAGCTACTTTCTCTAAGGGTTATTTTTTTCCCAGAGATTTATAAAGAAATTTACATGTTAAATATTGATCATTATTAAGAAAAAAAATGCTGTCTATTCTCTGACCATTTAGCCAAACATGTTACTCTCAGGATCCACAGGAAGTAAAGATCACTACGTATATCTGCACTGTACCAATAAAATTAATTTTTAAAGAAAGCTGTGCAGAGCCCACCCACTGACAAAGCCCAGATTCAATTCCTAAGAGACTGACTGCCAGGTGCTCAGAGGCCCACAGAAAGCCCTCAAGTGAGGAGCCTGCTGTTCTCTGTCCAGTTCGTGGGATTTAATCCGCATCCCTCCAGGGTACAGCTAGAGGGTGGCCTGTCACATTCTCAAGGGACTTGGGACTGGGCAAATGCACTCATTATCTTTGGACTTTACTTTTCAAAAAGACAATCAGCATTTCCACAATGTGTGCAACAGTTTACCCAATGTTCTTACAATCAAAAATTAAATAATATTTTTAAAAGATGAAATGGAAAAACATAATCTTGGCAGTTTTGTACAGAACTTACGTAATGAGTAGATCCTCATAAATGGAGGAAAAATAAACATATTTTTAGTCAACACAAGAAGTAATATACTGTAAGAAGTATTTGAGATTATTTTAAAATATTGTTTCAAAACCCTAAATCATTAAAAGTGGTAGAGTTGCCATCCATTTTGGCTCAATAATTATATACAATAAGTCAGCCAAAATTCTTCCATTCCTGAATATACGTGGGAGGTGATGGTTAGTTCTTATAAATTGTTTGAACACTTGCATATCATGAAATACAAATTGCACTGAAAAATAAAATATTCACCAAGAGCATTTCTCCAAATGCAAGATTATCTGATTCCCAGAAAAAGAAAACACTGCTATAACATTAAGATTACAACTGTCAAGAAAGAAGCCAAGACACACTGAAATAAAGCTTTTGCTGAAAAGTTCATTTGCTCATCTATGAAACTTCATTATGTTTATTATGTACACAGAATACTTTCAGAGCCTAGAATACAAAATTGCTTATTGGTAAGTTAACACAAACAGTCTCCTTGTAAATTCTGGCATGAGATTTTCAATTTATTTTCTGCCATACTCAGATTTTCAAGTCCTATTAAATTCTGAGGATTTACCACTGGCAGGTTAGGAAACTTTAGTAGACATCTATAAAATAGGAATCTTACTCTTCATTGAGGCATATAAATTCTGTTACGCTTTAACTTCTAAAGCATTCTAAGGTTTTGGAACAAACCAAGAGAATTCCAAATCTACAATAAACCAACACATGCTAGAAATGACTCTATAGTAAAAGAAATCCAGATTTCAAACAGATATGGGTATGCATCAAAACAAAACTACAAAATTTTCAGGTTTAAAAGGAAATTGAGAAAGAGGGAAATATCAAGACATGATAAACTATAAATAACTTCTCTACGGCTTCATATAGTAGAACACAGTATAGAAAAGAAAAGCTTCGTACATAGAGAGTGCAAATGGCATCTACAAAATCTTTATAAGGAAACAAATGATGAATTATTGAAATTTATGTTCTTCAACCGGAATAAATGATAAATTTTTCCAAGACCTTCACTGTGTGAGAAGCATAAGTGGAACAAGGGAGCTATAAGTTAGAAATCATAAGTATTTAGCACCATAGCTGATAAACAGATTGATGTAAACGTGAAAGGAATCTTCACCAGTGGATAAACTCTGTAAAAGTAATAATATGTTTGGGAAAGAGGGTCAAGAAAAAGGAAACAAGCAGAAAAGAGGAAACGTGCTGTCACTTTTCCCTCTCATGGCTTCTGAACTTTGTCTCTAGTTATTCGAACTAGTGTTGTGGCAATGTCCTAGACCGTATGCTAAAAGCCATACGTGCCTTAGCTGACCTAAATAATCAAGGAAGGAAACCACTATTTTATCACATTTTCACATTCCTTTAATGATCCGGTGGTATAAAGGGCAGCTCATTTTTGTTTTGTCTTATGTTTACCTTTTAAGCACGTTCCTTGCATTAACACTTAAACTATTCTTAAATGTCATAAAGAAACTTCCTGAAGAATGAAGCTTGTGAAAAATCAAACGGCATGAATTAGGACTCTTAGCCAGGATGGTGCAGCTGCCTTTTGCCCCGTCACTCCATGGGAATGGTTCTCTCGGGATTGCTGATGTTCTCTTTTTTGCCAAATTTTGTAGCTTTAACAATGGCTGTCATAAAGAATCAAAGACTGTTAATCACCATCCTTTATAATTTTACACTCCTGCCTTCCCGTTCTTGTGTGTGTTTCTGTGAAGACTTCATTTCAGGCCCACTGTTCTCTTTCTATCTAATGGAACCATCATCTGTTTTTACATTTCCAGTCTCCCATCTCTGCTGATTATTCCAAGATTTCTCTCTCTCATCAGTACTTCACTTCCATATTGCGTTTAGCTATTGTG